CTGTTTCGTGATTCCATTGATTGATTCATTGATTCCAACATTGAATGGGGGAGGGGGGAGACGGGGGTCTTCTCAATGATTTAGAGTGTGGTAGACACAGGAGTGTTCTAGTATACATATAAAGGACTCTTCAAGTATGATGTGTCCACTAATTTTGACGCTGATTGTAGCTATAGCTAAATAGCTATCAGTGGTACATAGGTTATCAAGAATGATTCAAACATCTAAAATGTAGACGTTTTTATTCAAAAACGTATATAGTATGAGGACTCAATAAAGTGACGCCTTTCGATGTCACACTACCTGAGGAATCGCCTGTTTTCTTCGGGTGTTCCCGTCAAATTTTTCCGCTTGGACAGAAGCAAATCAGCATAAGCATTGGCTGGATAGCGAGAGTACGACAACTGAGCTGAAAACTCCACGCTCTCACATGCCACAGGACACCTATCCAACTTCTTGTCTTCGAAATGCACTGAAAGTTTTTATACAGAAAGAAATTGCACAAAGGAACCTATTTCTTAAGAATCTGAAAAGGTAAGATTTCCATTTAGATCATGTTTCATGATAAATTGCAACGGCTATGAAGCCTGACTGATTCCTTTGTTTTGATGTTTGTTTAGGCTTTGGAATTGGCATGAACAATTTTTTGATAATCCGCGGAACAGGCCTTTATAATTAACGCTGCAGGGAGCACGTTTCTCCTTCCGCAGAGATAGCTGGGACTAGTCGAGAAGAGGCCGAGCTCTGACACTCATTATCATCACCAGACCCCTTACAGACCTCACCTCAGCTCACTTAGTCACAACGCGTTCAAGAACACATGCGAAAAACCAAACCGCCAGAAACAAAAGGATTTGCACTGTCGGTTTGCTTAACAACAAACTTTCATCTATGATAATAATTCTTCTCTACTAACTATGATTTAAGCCTTTGTTACATGAAAACCTGGTGCAGTCTAAAGTTTGAAGCATAATCTTTTCTTACAGACAACATTTCGAACTAAAATCTAACGTTCTTGTCTAAATCATAATTTTTTTTCCTACTCCCAGAGTCAAGAATCATCTTTGACTTGACAGCAATGGCTCTATTACACAAACGTATCTTACCCCAAGCCGGCCACATGCACTTTTCGCTCGTAACGAGATCGCAGACAGGAATTCCTTCATCAGCTCCTGCAGAAACATTATTGGTGAGGTCATCAGCGGAACACTCACTCACTCACTCGCTCGCAGCAAAATTGATAATAATAATAATAATAATAATAATAGGATGGTGGAAAACATAAAGAAAGTATTAGAAGCAGCTACTGTGACAGAGATTCAAAAGATCTGCGTGCTGGGATCTGCGCAAATCCTCAGAAAGGTGCTCAGTGTATGAACAGAATGATTGACTAGAGTGGCTGATGCCCTAGGTGCATGGTTTGCGCCTGACTGATACACAAAGAGAACACCAGCAAAGACTACGATAATTATAATAATAACAATAATAATGATAATAGTGGCAATAAAAAATAATTGTAAGGACTGAGAGGAGTTCAACCTATGGGAAGCGTATTTTTTATCACAATTGGCATTAATACCGCTATCTGATTGGCCAGTTTGCCGTTGTCGATAAGAGTACAGACAACGCTGCATGCGTCAACGTGTAACGGAAGAGTCAAGCAATGGTCACGCAATGGTCACGCACTGAAAGGATCGATTTACTTGTTTCATTTGTTGCGGACTCACTTAGCCTCGCCTCGTGAGTCCACAACATTTTGACCACTGAAAAAAATTGAATATCGTTGTTGGTAAGAGTACAGACAACGCTAAACCACACTCGATTTGTTGAACCGAAAGAGGGAATGAGAGCTTAATGTGAGAACAAGCTCAGTGAGAAGCGGGAGAATAGAGAGTTTATTTTCGCACCTGATCGGTTGAGACGATGTTCAAGCTTTTCAGACCAATTATCATTGAATGGAGTGCAGCAAAATCAATGCAATTTCTTACTTTTTCGAAACTCAGTCGAAAATAGCTTTATTGGGGAAAACAGTTGTTATTAGTATGATTGCTCCGCTGTCAAGAGAGATGCGTGCGCTTTGATTGGTCGAAGATTGCGTCATATCCAGCACTAAATTTCAAAATGGCTGCCTTACGCTTTGTCAGTTTTACCGAGGAAGTGATGAAAGCGGTAAAGAAAATGAAATTCGGAAGAGCACTTCTTAAAAGAAAGATATGAAGTTTATACTAATTGAATTGAGTTTACCTATCAAGTTCTAGTGAAAACTGGCTATTTATCGCGGTACTAGTGATGAAAACAATTAAAACAGAATGGTTTCAACATCAAAACGAATATTTAAAACCGAATTCGAAAGAACCTGAGGAATTATACTAAAACAATTATTCGTATCGAGGATTATTCACCAATATTCATATCGCCTTCGGCGAAAAAAATAGTTAAATATCTGAAATGATATCCATGTATAATTCGTCAATGAAAGCAGACTTACCAGGCATGAACCAATCACGGCACTTGCAAATTTCGACAACATAGCGGGTAAGTTTGTCCAAGAAACATTTGGATTTGCTGTATTTGTCAAAGAAGCGTAGCTTT